AGAGAGAGAGAGAGAGAGAGAGAGAGAGAGAGAGAGAGAGAGAGAGAAATATCATCAATAATAAGCACAGCAAAGTTCACAGTAAAGAGTTCAAGTAAAGAGTAAATTTCACAGTTCAAAGTAAAGAGTTTTTACAATATTTTAGACCTTACCGCTCTTTGCAGGCCTTAACGATTCTATTCACATAATAAAACCTTCTCCAGAATACTTAAACAACTATAATAATAATACACATCAGTAGTGAGCGATCACAATGAAAGAAAATATTCCCACAAGTTCAAGACTTAAAGCTCTGACATTTTGGCAAAGAATATCAGTAAGAAGCCAAGGGCAAAGTTGAAGTGAACAATACACAATATTTGTGGACTTGGAGTATTTAAGTGTATTTCAAGTGTAGTCTATCGCATTGATACTCTCAACTGTACAAGCGATTGTACAAAGGATTTAATCAAATTATATATTAATATAAAGAAAATTAAATTCATTCTCTTAGATTTCGTCAAATTTGTATTGGAGTAAAAAAAATGGAGTTAAATTCAAATTTTGTTTATGCTAAACGTATAAGGAACTCGAGATTGCCATTGAATGTATTTTGAATGTCTCACTCTAGCGATTACTCTGTATATATATATATTAATGGGACAGCTTTAAACGGAAGCCACACGAACAAATAACTGGGAACAAGAATGCAAAGCATTCATCCTATCATGAAATTTGCAGCCAGTTGCAGCAGTTGCTCGAGGAATACGGAATTTTTACAAATTAATATGCAAATTATGTATAAAATGTATATCGTTAATACACTTAATCACACTTAAATTATATACGAATCACATATGCTTATCATAAAAAAAATAGTGATATGATAATAAAATGTCTTTAGTGTATGCAAAGTAAAGCATTCAAAATTATATACAATTTGTCACTAGGTTATCCTACTAGGTTATTTCACTAAACAAAGATATATACAACAATACGAAACAATATTACGAATTAATGGATTACATGAGTACATCAAGTTCTAATATAGCTTTTCA